ATCGTTATCATGTGACATGTAACAAACCTTACTCTTAGTGAATCAACAACATTCATACCTTTTTATGAAACATTCAATATACATTTTTAAATAATATATCTCCTAAGATTGTAGTTATTGGTTTTTTTCATTAAAGCTAATTTTGTAATGGAGGTGCTGATTTATGGGGCAAATTTACTAGTTTTTATTTTACTAGACAACCTTTTTTGGATCTTAGTCTGTTTAAGAATATTTGTCCATTCTGATCTATTTCCCACTTTGCTCTTCCAGTTTTTGATTATTAAAATTTTCATGTCTTGCTTTATTTGTTCTTTATATCTAATCTTCCTTTAGTTTTATTTCCAACTGGAATTATTTGTTTGTTTTGGAAGGGATTACATCTTCTTTCATCTGTTCTACACTTCCCTTATATTGAAGTTGTCCTATTTGTATGAATGTTATGATATCAGATCCTGGTATTCCCTTTATAGTTAAAATGTATATCTTCTTATCCACATACAATTTTCTGTTACTGGTTTATATATGTGGCTTAAAATTTGTCTTTCAGAATTAGAATATTGGCTTTCTTCACTTTTAGTAAGTGTGCATGTTTCAGATACATATGTGAATAACTTATCTTATTAAGGTTTTATATAATTGGCACTTAGTTTTCTCTTGTATTATTACCTGTTGTTTATTTAAGTCATGGTAACTCTTATTGGCTATGGATATTCTTCTACCCCATAATTTTTAACACTAGTATTGCATATAACTAGTTATCCTATATAAAGTTTTTTACACTTCATTATGCTATACTCTCCTGCTGTTTTGCTGCTACATGTATTTTATTTTAGCTTGATTGGTTTTCAGTTTACTTGTCCATGCAGTTTGTTCTATCTGATTAAGTTCCTCTATAATATTTTATATTGTTATTACTATTATGTTAACATCATTTGCAAAAGCTAGTTGTCTGCATACTTATTGATTATCGTTTCTCATGAATTTACTCTTCCTATCTTCTTAAGTAACTTCTGCTTCTACTTATCTTTTTCCACATTGCTGCTGCTTCCCTTTACATGCTGCTTTTTCTTTCAGTTATTAATTTATATTCTTAGTCAAACCATTAAATTCTTTGTTTTTTTCTGCATGCCTATTACTTCTTTGGATGCATACCTTATGGAATTTCACAGGTTCCCGATTTGTTATTTGTGTTTTCATGCCTTGCTTTATTTTATATTCTGTTGTTGAAGGTTCTTTTGTATTCTTTATTTTTGTTTTCATCTTAGAGCCCTTCTATATGCTACCTTTTCCACAAATCACATGTTCTAACATATCATGGGCTCAGTACTATACTAGAAGGATGAATAATTACCCATTAAAATATACAATAAAATTTCAGTCTCTTACCATTAATTTATCTTTAATTATCTCTAAACTATAAATTATCAGTAAACTATAAATTTGGTGTTTTATTTTTATTAGGAGAAGAACATGATGTACTTAAAAAAGAAGATTTTGCGTTAGGATTCATGAATTCTGTCATGGAAGATAAATTAAGAGAATTCCCTAGCATAATTTGTATGGATGGTACACACGGCACAAACAAGAGGGGAATGGATTTAACAGTGGTGCTTATTAAAGATGACAGGAATACAGGATTTCCAGTTGCGTTCTTACTGTCAAACAGATTGGACCAACTAGTTCAAGAGGTTTTTTTAGGTATGTATTATATGAGTAGTGGCAATTTATGGCTGGTAATTAAAAATAATTTTCAAAAACTTTTAGGTGCCCTTAAGAATAGAATGCAGACTGGAATTCATGCGGAACATTTTATGAGTGATGACGATGGAAAATATTATAATGCATGGGTGAAGATTATGGGCAACCAACCAAAAAGGCTTTTATGTACCTGGCACGTCGTGAGAAATTGGAATATTCAAGGAAAGAAGAAGATACAGGATCCAATTTTGAAGAAACAGATGAAAGCTGAGATGAAAAGAATTATTAATGAAACGGATGAAGATCGATTTATGGAGTTGTGTAACAAATATATAATCAAATTACAAGAGGCAAATGAGATAGATTTTTTTAATTATCTGGCAGGGTAAATAAATATATGAAATCATACATTTTAAGTCATCCTTAAGTACATATTTTTTGTAGGTATTACTTTCAGAATGAAGAGAGAATCAAAATGTGGGCCCATTGCTACAGAAGAAATTCAGGAATCAATACAAACATGGCGATAGAATCTTTCAACAACCTCCTGAAGACCAACCACCTTAGAAGAAATGCAGCAGTATCAATCGAAAAGTTGTTGGACACAATAGAAGATCTCGTGGACATAAAAATGTGGAAGAGGATTATCGACATTCAAAGACCAAATGCGAACAATTACCAAGATAGGGTTATAATAAAAGCACACAAATTGGCAGAAAAGATGAAAAACAAAGTGGAGGTTAAGAAAAATGTGAAGGTATATGGTCAATTTCAGGTAAAGTCATTTAGAGATCCTAATAAATTATATAATGTAAATATAAGGCAAGTATGTGAAAATGAATGTAAGACATTGTATTGTAGAGTATGTAAAATTTGTATTCATCGCTACCAGTGTGAGTGTTATGAATATGTGGTGAGGAATACCTTGTGTAAGCATGTGCACTTGGTAAGAATGCATGAGGAGCGTGAGGGAACTAACTCTGTTTTAGATGATGCTGCAAGGTGTTTGGCAGAAACTTCAATTATCAAATCAAAGCATCAGGAGGAAATTAATGAGTTTGGCAGAGGGAAGGTAGAACAGACAAATGTGATCCAGGAAAACACCAAACGATGTCTTCAAAAAGAAAACTTAAAAATGTCATGGACAGCTTAGATGACTTAGATGATAAAATTTATACACAAGCACATGACGAAATTATGAGAACTGTTCAAGGAGCAAAGCGTAAGATGAAGGAAAAATATCAGGAAACCACTAAGGATATTACAAAGAAGCGAAAAATGGAAAAGCAGGAATATTTTCCTTCCAATAAAAAAAGAAACTGATTAAAAATTAAATTTGAAACATTCTTGTAGCTCACGTGTATTTTGTGTTTGTTTATCTGTATTGAACTTTTATTATAGTTTTATAGGCTTATTTACAAGAAAGTTAGTTAATTTTACATTATTATATGTTTACTTGATTAGTAATATATGTAGCAAAATTTCATAAAATATATGTATAAATGGTTGGTTTAGGCCTGAATTTTAAAGTCGTGTTAAGTAATGTATTTGTAGACTTTTATATTAGAATTTTATTTTTAAATCGGGATGTACTGGGCCCTAGGCGAGGTTTAGAGGGGTTTTCCTTCGCCATTGCACCAATAAAGGCCTCCCCCTCCTTTGATTTCCCAGATTTTTAATAAAGAATAAAGACATTTTAAACATAGCTATTTAGTGTTTTATTTGGTTTGCAATAGTTATTTCCAGTAAACTTCTGCTTAATTTTGTTGACAATGATAATTTTTCATAGCACTCAATTCCCAATATTTTATTATCCTACATTTGTGGTGAAATCTATTTAGTGTAAGGTTCTAAAAAATGAAAATGGATAAATGTCAATTTGGATTTATGCAAGGCAGGTCTGCAACAGCAATTTTTGTTATAAGAAAGCTAATGTAAAAGTTTAGAGAACCTCCTTGGTATTAGTAGAAAAGAATATAGTAGTGAAGACAGGTCCTTGAATAAAAGGATTAAAATGAAGTAGACAAAATATTTAGAATATTCTGTTAAATATGGTGTTCCAAGTCCAGATAGAGTAGTTAGCTTGGATAGACAAGAACTCTGAAAAGATGATAATTTTAGGATCGGTATTACCGTTTTATCTATATTTCAATTAAAGGTAAACGAAAGAGGCAAATTGGGTAATGTGTGATAAAAAAGGTACCTACCAAGAAAACTAAAAGGTAAGTTGTATAGGACTGCCTTAAGACCAGCTATGATGTATAGTACTGAATGTAGGACAGTAAAAAGGGATGAACAGAAATTGCATGTTTCTGAAAAACCATAATCTCGTACAAAAAGCGGAGAGGTACTTAGTCCTTGGAATGGAACAGAAAAGTTAAGAGGAAAATAATGAGAGGAGCCGATCCCACATAGAGAAAGCTAAAGATAATAATAATGTTAATGCATGTTTTAGAAATAAAAATAATAAGAGGAACATTTAAAACTTAATAAAAAATTACCTAATCAAAAAAATTAAAACAATATCTAATATAAAAAGCATCACTAGCATATTAAAATAAACACAAGTCAGAATTTAATTTTACCTACATAATCTCAAAAGAAAAAAAATTACATGATATGACTGTAATTACATTACAAATGATAAAACTGTAATAGCCAGCTTAATCCTAAAATCTGAATATCATCCGCTTTGTACCAATACCACAGTATATTGCTAATAAATTCTTTACTGATGGTGCCAATACCTGAATTGTCATTTAATAAACATGAAACCCGCCAATTTTTAAATTGGGACCCGCCCACTAACCAATCACAGCAAACGTAGGTTGTAGTTTTTAGGGTAGTCTATTAACCTATCCTTCTTATCTTTGAGTTCTATGATATTGACAAACAATAGACATTGATGTTGACATTGACATTTGACAGAATAAAAGCGTAGCGGAACGTAGCGGAATTTGATTATCCATGTGGCGACATTTCACAAATTTCAGTTGGTCACACTGATGACAACTATCCGCCAAATCCGCCACATAAACAAATAAACTTTTTATTTTAATGTTCAATTTTGTTTTAATCCAAATGATAATATTGCGATGAAGTAAATACGTTATCTTTGTTACAATCTAATCATCTTGTAATATTTAAATATAGTAAAATCAGTGTATGGAACAAATAATATTGTGAAGTTGTTAACCTTTGGCCCCAGATCAGTACATCCATAGAAGAGTCGAGTTCTGTACGGTAACTGTTCTGCACTTCTCATAATCAGTTAACTCGATTGTTCAGTTGTTTCTAGAACAATGGTTTTATCAAAGCCTCTTGTAAATTTTTTAAGTTTCTATTTTGGCCAACTGTTTGAACATCCCCTGAGAACAAAAGCTATAACATGGTAAGTACAGAATTAAGTTCCTTTTTCGAATGCGGCTTTTTGTTTAAAAAACTAGAACTTTAAATTGTATTATTTCTTTTAGTTCAATTATCGCTACTGCTGGTAATTACACATCACAAAAGTTATCAGGAGAGAAAGTAATTAATCATCACAGTCTACTTGCCTATGGATTATATGGGTATGTTCTGGTATGATTATATGTATATTCTAAATAATTTTCTTAACATATTTGGAAATTTATATAATTTTTAATATACAAGATGCAATTCATAAATATGTTAATAGCGAATGTTGTATAAAAAACTTTCTTGGTACTTATATGGTATTCAAATCTTAATGATACTTCCTAATAATTCTCAAATTAATTTAGTACACCTGTTCTCTTTCTACCTCAAGTACTGTTTCATTAATGAGCACAAACCACTAGTTAAACCATATTGCATTTATCATCCTATAGCATTTGTATGGTTCTCGGAGGGTCATTTCTTTTTAATACTAGAGGATAAAGACAAAAAATTGTATGCCAGTGACTATTTCTTAAAGAAAATTAATATATTACATCACCCAAATATATTCATATATTCAGAAAGCATATTATGTACAGATATTTAATTGGTTGACATTGAGAATACATCATTCCTTGTCTAATCGAATTATGTTAGTATTTTAACTAGAATTGTTCCATGAGCAAAAAATATCAGAATGCTCTCTAGACATGTTTGAAGTCCAAAGTGTTCTTTAATGTAAATTACAATAAAGTACCATTTTAATTTTACACAAATACATATTTGCCTAATACAATCTTAGTAACTATCACAAATTGCATGCCATAAGTCATTATGTACCTAAATTACTAGAATATGTCACCATCATCTATGTAGTATAGTAAGGTTGGAACCTATTAATAAATATTTCCAAAATAGCTGATAACAATGGTGTTTCCAAGATGTCAGTGTATAAAAAATATTATTTTGGTACATATATCGTGTGTGTGCAAGAAGACCTGGTACAACTCAAAAAGTATACATTTTCAGGATAGCTGATTAAAGATAATTTTTCTATAAATTATTTTTTATTTTTAAATTTGTGAACTTTCCACTTATGATTGTTTTATGGAATTATGACATTTAGTGGTCTGATTCAGATGATATAATTCTATTTTATTTATCACTATTGTTTTTGTAATAACAGGTAGTTGTATACCTCTTGAATATATTTTTTTCTAAGTATGTAAATGTAACTAAAATTGAGTTCTGACTAATTATTATAAAACTATGTACAATTTATACTGCTATTTAATAGTAAAATATTTAACAAGTTTGCATAAAATAGTAAGTACAGAAACACTTAAAACATGGAAATAAGCCAGAAAAGCCACTTGTAACTCTCTTCCACAGAAAACAAAATTTTTGGAATGTTTTGTTTTCTAGCCAAAGGGTAACAAATAATAAATTGTCGAACCTAAATTTAAACTGAAATGTCTCTAACACTATATAGTTTGATTTAGTATTAATTTGGAACTAAAACACTATACACTATACACTGTAATATAAAAATAAAAGATACATAGCCACAAGTCTATTAAGACAAAGGCAAACAAATAAAACATAACTGTGTTACAACAATAGCGATATTAAAAAAAAACATTTTTCAAAACAATGCAATAGAACATACACACAGTGCCAATATTGCCTGTTTTTACAAATTCTGAAAAAAGTCTAAGAAATAATACAGTGGTACGCACTTATTTTTCTCAATCAAGTCTAATAACCCTTTTTTCTTTACATCAGAAATTACAGGTATTTTAGAATAAGCATTTTGTAATGTAATATTGTCAAAATTTATAATTTTTCTTTCACTGATTATTTCGGTTTCCATATAATTTTCGTCTTAGCTGTATTTGTAGAATAAAATGTTTGGTTTGTTTTTTCCACCCTAATGACTTGTAAATTATAAAATCTAAAATTTCGTGGATTTACATACAAGTTAGAAGAAAGTTTTTTTATATCAAGCATATCTTTGAAACAAAGCTCATTAACCTTATAGGATTTTCACTGTTTTTTTTTCACTTATTGTTCGGGAACATAAATTGGATTCTTTTTTTTATATTTGGTAATTTCAGACTCAATTCGGGCATGAACACTATCACCGTCGTTTTGAGTATGGCCTTTAATGAAGAATTTGTGTGTTATGGAATTAACATCTAATGTATTCACTGCGTACATGTAAATGGCTAAAATAAATTTATTTTTATTTTGCCCAGAACAATTATTTGAGTAAAAAATTATGTCTGGGTTTTCTGCAGCATTTTCTTGCATAAAATTTAGAAAATATTTTAACACACAAGTTCCAGTTTCACTGCATTATGTTAATTCCTGGCTTTCATGCCATAATTAACAAGTTCCTTCAGTTTCTTTTATATCAAAAATTGTTAAATTTAACACATTGATTTTCGAAACATAATAAAAGGAATTGGCGTGTCCCGTCGGACAAGGTAACACCTTTTGTAGATCATACACTAAAACCTTAACATTACCCATTTTATTTTGTTTATCTTTCTCTTTCTCTACTCTGTTAAGTTCTTTTTTTTTGATATGCATATTATATTTATCTTCTATTTTGTTCTTTTCTTCGTTTGTTGCATTTTTGTATTCAAGGCACAGCTCGCATTGATCTTTTTCAGTAAATGAAACGAAATATTGTGTTCTTCCTTAAATATCACTGTATAGTTGATAGTTTCCATATTCTTCATGTTTTACTTGTCTTAAATTTACATAATCTCTATGAAGGTCCATTAAACATTTTCCCCCCTCTATATATTCCTTCGATGTAGTGACTGTCTATTCTAGATATGGAACTAATGTGATTTCTGATTGAGTTTTTAATTTCTTTGTTTACCCTCTTATGATTTTTGTGCTTCCCTCTTTTGTCTATTTCAATGACTTTACCTCTTTCATAATTTTTTTGTTTTTTCAATACTGTATTAATAATTGTTCTATTATTTATGGCTAAAGTTGCCATAAACATTTTTTTGCAAACTCGGACTTTTGTTTCTGATATAATAAAATAGAAGGCATTGTTGGGATGATATGTATTCCCTCTGCTTATTAATATCCCCGAAACTATAATATTCATTAAAAATCTGTAAGCGTTTTTCCTCTGAAATTTAGCATAACATTTGAGGCGGCATTTTTCATCAATCATAGCAACTGAATGGATTTTTTTGTGCATTCTCGTTCCATTTTGGTTTTTATCCCATCTTCATTCTTTTTTATTTGTATTGAAACGTAAGCTTGTCCACTATTCCTTAATATTTTTGCTTGATTTTTTTTCTACAATAATACATTTCTCTTCTTCCTTTTCCCCATTTGTACTGTTTCACTCTGATTCGTTATTTTTCTTTTTTTCTTTGGTTGAATGTTCTCATCCACTTGGTTCAATGTATTTGAATTATTTGGCGAAATAGTATAATAACGGTCCTTTACACTGTAATCTGATTCATACGGACCACGTTCCTCATCAAATTCTACTGAGGATGACGTCGAGGATGAATCAGATGAACACGATGAGGAGCATGATGATGAACTGCTTGCCGAGTATTTTATTGTTAAAAATGATTTTTTTTTGTTACCTTGTAAAGAAGCAGAATTTTGAAAGGGGCTATGCTAATCTTTGTGGTGGATTTGTGTATCTTCAGATTGAGAGGTTTCTTTTTCTAAAAATTCAAACATAATTTAGACTTTATGGTAATTAATTACTGGCATATTTTACCTTGCAAGTCACCCGATCTGGTCTGATTTTCTTGTGAAACAATTTCTGTGCGCGTTTCATCTTGAATATTGTTTATCATGTTTAAAATGCGCATTCTGCAATTTTCATACTTTTTAGCCATTTTAATCTACAAACAAAATATTCATGGAGGTAGGTAGAAAGATCGTACATAATAGAAGGAGGTACATACATAATATAGTAAGAGTGTTGTGACAAAAATGAAAATGTAAAAGAAATAGGCTTTCTAGACTATAATGGAATAAAACTACTTTAAAAGAATAACACACACAATATTAGAAAACAAAATGAATCTAAACATTAAGACTGTGCAAAACTGTTTTATTCCAAAATGTACTTTTATTCCTCAACGAAAATAATGCAATTTCAAGCCAAAGTATATTAAGAAAAACATTACATTTTGAAATAAAACACAATTTAATCAACGTTTCTATTCAAAAGCATTGCAAGTCGAAATGTTTCTTTTCTTTTTCATAACCTAACAAAATTATTTCAGGTTTTTCTTTATGCAAGTAAGTTATATTTTGAAATGTAACACTCTTGTAGATAAATAATAAACTAAATTCTACTTACCGGAAAAAAATCTGGGTTATAAATACAATTGTAACAGTTTTCCTAGGAAAAACACTTAACAATTAGCACTATTACAAAATGTAATAGTCTTGATCAGCACCGACGTTGTTTTTCATTTCAGAGCTGGTGGTAAATTGAATTTCAGCGATATTCTCGAGAATCGAAATGCTATTTTTAAAAAGTGCGTGTGTAACATCTCGACATCTTTTAAGAAGTATTTTAACCAAACTTATTACATTCTTCTAGATTAAAGATAATGCCTTTTTAAGTCGTTTATGATAGAAATCTCAAAAATGACAAATTTTGAGTTGTAACAGTCTTCTTCCGCACGTACGATATATGTACAATAATTATTTATTTTCGTTGTTATTTACATTTAAATAAAAGATATAATTAGGTGTAATATTGTAAAATTAAAAATTATTAATGTTATAACATAAAAACATATCAAACATATATCTTACTGGTACATAGTTGCATATCGCATGCCACTGATGTGACTGGATGCAAAATAATAAAAAATTAACAAACTTATTGATTTATTGACTTATCACATAATGCTACCTGTTTAACATTAAAATTAATAAATAAAATTAATTATCTGTCAAATTTACATTGGACATTGTAGCTTTTAATGAATTCCTCAGTTCTGTCATTCATCAGCTACATGTAAAAATATCAACATGTCCGTTCCTTAGTATATTACATTGTTAGTCACCACTGAAAGAAGGTTAAGAAGAACCATTTCTGGAATTCCTATAATAATTGTTCCGAATATCTTTTTTTCATCTGAAAACAAGGGGTTTGGTATTCTGATTTAGCTTTTGTCTACCGATTTTAAAATAAAAACCAAACTTTTGAAAAGTTTAATTATAGAAAAATCAGATATAAAACAAGAAAAGTAATTAACAGGAATCAATGAATAAATTTATACCAGTGAGTATCAAAAATAACAAAATAATGTAATACCAAAATGACAAGTAAAGAAAATAATGTTACTAAAGCTATCAGTTAAGGACAAGAAACTCTTTAATTCTTGGAATAAATCAATAATTTTATATTTGCCAACTTACCCCTCATATGTTGTTAAAATACCAAATTGCTTTTTTTATAACACTAAAGAATTTATCTCAGATGAATTAAAAAAGGAGTTATGCAAAGGGTCTAGTGTATAGAAAACATGTAATAAAAAACTAATTTTTAAAAATGAACATTAATGTTATAGTGTGCTCAAGACCTCACAGTAATAGTTACCCAAAAAAGGGAACTTGAAATAATCTCAACTTCAGTTATTTAGAAGCAAATATATGAAAAAGTAGATTATTCAATTATAGTCTTTTTTTTGCTGCAAATGAAATCAGTTTTTTATAAAGGTGTTAAATAAATAAACGTTGCGCGATTTTTGCCATTTTTTACGATTCTCATTGAGATCAATAAAATGTATCACTTTCATTGACCCATCACTATTGAATTTTTATTGTTAGGTCCCAATATTCAAAACTTATAGCGTTAAATTTCGGTTTTGTATTTCGGCAACAAATTGAAGCATTTGAAATATGCCTAAAAACCGCTGATTTTAAATTTTCACAGTACAAACGATGTAAAACGTTTAAAACTGATTTTTTTTATTGCACAAGTACGTTTTTTAAAACTACAAAACTTTAGCTACAAATTCCACCGAATACCGCCTTCGTAGAGGTCTTTTTTGTGACGTGATTGTTTTGTACTTTAAAAGTTTCAATTCTGCATGTTTCAAATGTCTCATATTTGTTGCCAAACTCAAAATCAAAATTTCATGTTATTAGAGTTTTTTAGACTTAAGAGTAATACACTTTTTATAGCACTTATCTACCATATAAAAACAAGTTTTTGTCCATTGTCCTTGACTGCACAATACTATATTTTTCTAGTATCACTCATAATAATTATTATCATAATTACTTACAAAATGTTACCTATATATGAATCATTCATGGTATAAATCAATTAACTTACTAAATAAAAAACTTACTGAAGAAATGTCATAAAATAATTTTTAAATAATTGTTATGTAAATACAAATAAAAAAAATTGTAGTTTAATGGTGTTATTGATTATTGACTAATATCTGCTTAACGATAGACTAGAAAAATTAACAAATAAAAAGCCTTTTTGGCACTGTTTGATACAGGTATCTAACAACTGCTTTTGATAAATTTGGTGATAGCAATATGTAATAAAGAAAGGATGCAAAATATTACATGTCATTTTTTAATTATAAACAATGTAAGATCGCTATTTGATTTTAAATACTAATGGCGAAGACCGGTAAATTATATGGAAAAGTGACAATTTTACTGAAAAAGCCTAGAAAATCCTTTAAAATGAAAGTTTGTAAAGTTATTAAATCAATGATCGGCTAATCGAAAAAAACATTTTATTAGATGAAGATTACCTAAAAAGTCACTTACTGGTTATTGCGGCTGCATTTAGAGACGAGTACTACAAGTACAAAATTAAAAAAAATTGCGGTAAAATATGGCGTTAACTCTTTGAGGAGCAAAGAGGGCAAAAGCGAGACACATTTACAGTACCTACTGCATGGATGATCAATATTTAAAAAAAATTCAAAAAAATTATCAAAATAAAGAACATGATGCTTGCCACGAATATAAGCTATCAGATAATTGACCTCCCGTGCTCCTAAATTTTTTTCAGCTGAATCAGCCTTCCCTGTATAGTTCAAATTTTAGACAATAGCCTGATTGATCTGCCAGCATCCATACCTTATAGCCTCGTTGTATGGTTTTTTTAGCATATACTGCTTCAGTGCACTCCGGCCCTTGAACTTTATCATGGATTCGTCGACAGCTACTTGCTGAGATGGATAGAAACAATTCTCGAATTTATTTAGTAATAAATCTGTCATTGGGCGCAGTTTATACAGCTTATCAAAATTCGGTGAACCACGAACAGGCATAGCAGAATTATTGTTTACATGAAAATGGCCAAGTAACCAACTAAATCGCTTGAGACTCATCAAACTGGATATGTACGCATTTTGAAGCTCAGGTGGACTGGACCAGTAGTTTTTATAACTAGGATATCGCTTTATACCTATTAGCAAGTTTATACCCAATAATGTTTTTATTTCTTTAAATTCAGTCAACAAAAAGTTTTTAGCGTGAGTTATTTTAATTGGTTCTGCATATAAATTAGTTTGAAATGCCAAATGTTCAATAATATCATCATTTATGAACAACTGAAACAAATTATATGGGGTTGGATTATCAATCTGTTGAATAAAGTCTGGTACTCCAGAAGAATGTGTAAAGTTTTCAGGAGAAATAGGTCTATGATTAGTTGGCCATGTTGGATGTGTATAAGCAGAAGCATTATTTTCCGGTCTATGAGCTCTAGTAATATCTGTTATAAATTTCCTCGACATCTGCCGTTGGAGTTTCAACCGCTTCGTGATCTTCATTTTCAGAATCGTCCACTATCGTTTCGGAATCAGAGGGTATTGATTACTTATACTCTACACCTTCATCTATATTATCCAGTTCCGCTTGAAATTCGTCTATTGTCATGAAAATTAGTGTAAAAAGTTATCCACTTTTCTCAATCTTGACATTTTCCTAGATTTTCCTTGAGAGTACCTAGTCAAAAAACAGAAAATTTTGGAATACACTTATTTTTTTCAATTAGACTAAAAGCAATCTGAAATTTTAACATACGATCTCGTCATTACACATCATTCTCTATAGAATTGTTGTGTGCTGTAAACGTTATATTTGTTTTTTTTTTAACTTAATTTGAAAGTTTCCTTGTGTTTATTTGTTTATATAAATATAAAAGTAAATTATGCTATATAGTTCATATAAATTAAAATGAAGTTAGCTGAGCTATTATCATGTGAATGCGTTTATATAGTAGTGCATTTGTTTATTTCAGTAAATTCTCGAAATATGAAATGGAGATGGCGCTAACTACTAAATAGTTAATAGCTTTGTTAGAAGAAGACTTAGATTGTGAAAATGCTGACTCACTTAATGTGGTTAATTTGCCGCCGAGATAAGACTAGAAAGTTTCTGATGTAGAAGACATTGATGATAATATCATTTGTGAAGAATCAATAAAATCGGATATTGCAGGTACATATGAAGTACAAGTGATTGGAAATTCTGATGATTCTAATTATGATGTTCCTCTGAACCAGTTAAAATAGATAAAACGTCCAAAGAAAAAACCAGGCAAAAATAGTACATCTAAATTTGTCTCAAGTTGTAACAACAGATACTCATTCATGCTCAGTAGTAATTCAACATCAGTCTGGTTGATATTTAGACAATATAAAAGCCAACCATGGAAGCAAGTCATATACTGAAGTTTTTTCACTCTTTTTTGATAAAAAAGTAATTGAGAGCATTCTATAGTTTACAAATATTTATGCATCCCAGAATAACCGTCACGATTTTGAAATGAATAGCATAGATTAAAAAAATGTTAGCATATGTATATTATGTGGTTTACACTCTGCTTTAAGTCGATATGCATTGGTCAAAGGATGAGGATAATTAAGTGCACATTATAAGAGAAAGCAATAGATTTATATGTATAATTTATAATGGTGAAGAAACCGCTAGATCAGTGTCAAACTTGATAAAATATAAATCAATGTCAATATAAATTTGCTTTACCTTATGAAACCAGATTCGACAATACTGGCCACATTACAAAAAGAGACGATAGTGCAAAAGTAATACTATTTATTTATGTAAAAGGTGTAGAATGCATCTACACCCCGCCTGTTTCGAAAATTTTCACCTTAAAATTGAATTTACACGGAGCTTAAATACATATTGAAAAGCAGATCTGTCACTAAAAGATTCAATTCAAAGCGATTGTCAAAATTGAATAAAAGTCATATGTCATCCGATTAATAACAACATTGAATCATTTGTTTAAATTTTTATAATAATTCTCATTTTAAAATAATTTCATATAAATACAATTAATATTTTTAAACATATTTAGTTTATATAATAATTAAATTTACTATCAAAGGATATTCATTTATATTTTATTATTAATATTTGGTCTGAGTTTGACAGAATTGTCATAAGTAAACAACCTATGCTTCTATGCTTTGTTGGTACGTTTACAGCTGGCGTTAAGAGCAAACTTAATAATTTATTGAATTTTTTTAAAATATAAAAAATAAATAAATCATAAAATTACTTTATTTAATTTTAAATATATTACTTAAAATTACAGAAAACATAATATGAAGCTCCGCGCTAGTAACGCCTACTGTTCCACTTTTTTTAATATAACTTGTTATGTTTAAACATCTTATTTAGTTTATATAATAAATAACTTTACTATCAAATGATATTGATTTATATTTTCATAATTTCATATAAACACAATTAGTAAAACATTTTAAAAATTTTAGTATTTATACAGTCACAGGAAGAGTCCATTTGTGTACCTAACGAGGAGCTGACCGTTAGGTATACAAAATGTCAAAACTGACCATAACTTGTTATTTTGGTTTTTAAAATGTTTCATATTTTTTTTAATTTAAAAATACAGAAACAGTATGAATATTCGTGGTAGTCTACAGTATCCCCTATTGTACCATTTTTTTTTCAATGACTGATTATCTGCATATTGTTTCTCGTTCTCCTAACTTTTTATTTTGCAGTTATTATTAAAAATAAAAACATATTTAAATTTCAGATTAATTTTTGGCGGATCCATCCCTCATTACTTTTACAGCTTCTTAGAAAGAGCAATATCCGAAGATGCATCATTTGCTGTTGTCAGGAAACTGCTACTTGAAAGACTGATCTATTTACCGCTATACCAAGCTTTCACATTATACGTATTGGCTAGAATGGAAGGAAAAAGTCACAATGCTGCTATGAAACAATTGCAAGATTTGTATTGGGTGCTCCTTAGCAGTAGTTGGAAATATTTGACTGTTATTCACTTGCTCAATCTCAGTGTTGTTCCTCCTGTGGTAAGAATGTTAATATATTACATCAACGTTTCATTCATTGTGACTCTACTTACAGTTACAAACTGTGGGGTTTACTCTTAAAAATGTTGTCAAATTTTGTAATTATAAGGTACTTCACTTTAAGCCGATGATGCCGACGTAACAGAATCAGTTTCTTAGGTACCACCATGCACAATAACTGGAAATGTTTTTGATTATTATTTTCTTCTTCATGATATACGAGAATTGTTCAATAACTACATGGCCTAAAAAAACATTCATAAATCAGATATTAAGGAATTATTTTTAAATTTAAATAGTATCGCTGTAATATTTATATTACGGGTTTTCCATAATTAAATTGGCGAACAAGACATTTTCAATCAAAAAATTAAAAAATATCAAAGTTCTCAAAAAAATTATTTACATCAGGCATTTACTGCTGAGCAATTTTTTTTTCCAAAAAGCACTTTTTCCTTTACGACATGACACGTACACAGTTGCCGTAACTTTTTCTGTTGGTAAAACTGATCATGGCTCCTTTAGTGGCGCGGAACCTTTGTGTATGTATTGTTTCTACCATTCATTGACTGCGCTAGTATAATAGTGAACCCAGGTTTCATTGTCATATATGAAACGGTTTAATGGTATATTCGTATTGTAACGAAAACAGACCAAAATGCCGAGCACACTGAATGTTCAATGCTTCAAATAAAATTATGTGTTCACTATCATCGAAAATATATTTCCGCCCTGCCATTTCTCGCACTTTTCTTCTTCTTTGCGCTGTCCTCTACAGACGGTCGGCGCGCCGACTTGTGTCGAAGGTTGGCGACCATTATACGACATGTTTCTTTGTTTTTTGCCACATGATAGCAACTCCTGATATTTGGAACCATTCCCTTAAGTTTCTCAGTCAGGATTTTTTCTTCCTGCCCTAACCCCTTCTTTATTCAATCTTGCCTTTTACTATAAGCTGTAGCAGACCCTACTTATCATTGTGGAACACATGGTCCAGATATAATGCTTTCTTCCTTTTAACAATTGTTAACAATTTCATCTCTTTACTCATTCGTCTCAATAACTCTATATTGGTCGCTCGGTCTGTCCAAGTATTCTCAGTATGCGCCGGTACACCCACATTTCTAAAGCCTCTAACTGTTTTATAATTGCTGCATCCACACTTCTACTCCGTTAAGTAGCGTAGAAAGTTAGTAAAAGTCGTAGCGAGCCACAGGATGCTAACGCTTAGGTTGTGGTTGCTTAGAGCTTTCTCATGAATCTAGATCTAGCTATGTCAATTCGGATCTTGATCTCTACATGAGAATTCCACTTATCACTTACTAGGTATCACAGATATTTCAATTGCTGTACTTTTTGAATATATTTAGTTTCAGTATGCAGGTCGATATTTTGAATGTACTTTTTACTAATCACCATAAATTTAGTGTTCTTCCTGTTGATTCTTCTGTTGAATTAGAATATGCTGAATATAAAGAGAGGCTTTGAAAAAATAAGTACTAAAAATACTAGATCATAACAACAGACACGAACAATTCTATAAAATAATAAAAGAAAACATAGTTATTTAGACCAAAATTGACGATGTGCAATGACAAGGACGGAGAACTATTAACAGAGAAGCAAAAAATTATAAGGAGATGGAAAGAATCCTTCGAAGAAAACCTACACGCAGACAGTGAAAATGAACAAAACAATACAATATATTATACAGCGGAGCAGTACATTGAAAATCCGAGTTATAAAGAAATGGTTCAGATAAAGAAACTAAAGATAATAAAGCGCCAGGGACGGAAGAAATTCGACAGAATTATTAAAACATCCGAACAATCCGAACTCTGGGAAAAATGTCTTCTTCCAAGGCCAAGGAGTAACTGCCGGAAGAATGGGCAATTGGCCTTATATTGCCAATATCTATATAAGAAATGAGATAAGAGCGGAGGCAAGAATTATAGGCCAATTACATTACTTCTGTCTTAAATGTCTTCTTCCTCTTTATAAGCAATTCTGCTATTTCATTGGCGGATTAATACCTCTATGGAAGGTTGTCACTCCATCTTTTGCGCGGTCATCCGAAATTTGTTCTGCTGATTGGTGACTTATCTCTTGCTATTTTTATGACACGGGTCTCCTCCATTCTGCTTATGTAGTTATTCCGTTCTTTTTTTCTATTTTGTGTCTATTCATGTATACACTGTACGTTACATTTTCTTCTAATGTCTTCACTTCTCTTTCAATGCCAGTAACCTTTGCGTTGTGGCTGTGTCGGGTATTGTTTCTGAGGCATACGTCATTATTTGTCTTACACTGGCTTTATAAATTCTTGATTTCATCTCAGTGTTAATGTGTCAGTTTGGCCGTATAGTGTTATTAAGGCATCCTGCCAGTCTATTTGCTTTTTGTACTTGATCTCTCACTCCTTTGTCCACGTGTCCATAGCTAGACAGTGTAATAGGTATTTTATTTCTATTACTTGTTTAATACTGATGCCATCAATGTCTATTTTACATCTGGTTGGCTCTTCTGCGTAACAGAGTATTTTGATTTCTTTGTTTCCCATTTTGTATCCTCTTCCTTAGTTCACGCTTTTGATGATGTCATCCATGATTAAAGTGAAGAGCATTAGGCTAAATGAATCCCCTTGTCTTATTCCGCTGCCTATTTCTGTAGGTTCTCTAAGTTGTCCATCTATTCTGACTTCCATTTTGTTGTTTTGGTAGATGTTTTCGATAGTTTTTATAATATTTAGAGGAGTTTCTCTATTATACAGAAGATGGATTACATCTTTGAGCCTTACTTTGTCAAACACTTTCTTTAGGTAAATCAGACACAGAAATGCTGGTCTATTATACTGTAGTGATTTCTCAGTAATTTGCTTTTTAATGAATATTGCATCTGTACACGATCTTCTACTACGAAAACCCTGTTGTTCATCTGCTAAACTTATCCTCTGATTTATTAGCAATTTTAAAATTTTAGATATACGTTTTAGCGTAGTATTTAACAAGTTTATACCTCAGTAGTTTTCTGGTTCTTTTTTATTTACTTTTTTGATTAGTAGAATTAGTTCGCTCGTTCTCCATTCTTTCGGTATTTTATTGTGTTTTATAATTTAATTAAATTAATGTTGTTAATTGTTCTGCCATTGCTGCTCCACAATATTTCAGTAACTCGTTTGGTATCCCATCTTTACCTGCTGCTTTTCAGGTTTTCAAGTATTTTCCGAACTTCTACCGGTTACCGGTTCTAGCTTGGTTTGTTCTTCCTCTGCATATAGTTTTTTTAGGTAGTCAATACACGTATCCTGTTCTATATATTTTGGTTCTATTAGTTCCTTTATCTTCGTTCTTTAACCTCTTATGAAGCGCCATATTTCCTTTTGCAGACCATAAAAATCATGTTTAATTTTTTTCGAAAAGCTAATTTTAAAGATAATTTTTTATTTTTCATTAAAAGTGCATGTGTTTCGTTTCTAATTGTCTTGCAATTATGGTATGCCTCTTGTGTTTTGGTTGACATGTATTTCAAGTAAGCTTTTTTCTTTTCTTTACATTTTTCCTTCACTTCTTTACAGAACCATGGAGTTCTTCGCCTTGGGAACGATTTATTTTTATTTAAGTCTGTTTTAGACTATAACATAAAATGATATAAGAAAATGGTATAACAAGAACTTACATGAAATGATTGTGTACAATATTAATATAAGAAGTTTTGTGTATTATATTGTCACATTTTGGTATCAAAATATGTTATGTGATTCTGCGCATTACATGCTAAAACATTCATTTTTTAAAATTATTATGTTGTTGTACATGTACTGTTAACCTCAATATTCTTATTCTTCGTTTTGTTATTGTAACGTAACCTCATTTTCTTCAACATTTAACCTAGTTTTTTACCCACGGAAATACCTTCGTGCTGATATACGTATTAACGTAAAGAGAGAAAGACGAAAAACTATTAACAACAAACCCTTTACCAGAGGAATTGGCTCGAAAACTAGTAGCAAATACCTTTGAGCACAAGAATATAGATGAACTAGCTGAGAAAATAACTAAAGACATACAAACAGTCACTAAGAAACTTTGTTGCAGAATAAGAAAACAAAAGGAAGCTAAACTAAAATCCGAAACTCTAGAACAGATAGAGAAAAGAAGAAGAACGAACAGAGATAACCCGGACTATAAAGCGCTCAACAGAAGCGTTAAGAAAAATATTCGAAAAGACCTCAGAGTTTATAGAACAAACCAGATTCTTGAAACCATAGAAAACAATAAGAACATGAAAGTACTAAAAACATGTAAATCCATTGGCAGGAATAAAGTCATAAAGATAAAAGACGACCGTGGAACATTGTGCTCGCATAAGGAAGAGATCGTTAGAGAAATCCGAAAATTTTATGAGAAGCTGTATACTTCTACTATTCCGAACCCCGGTATACCAACAAAACATATCTTAAATGTGGGCTCAGAGGACTTCCGGAAATAATAACATCAGAAATTAGAGCCGCCCTAAAACAAATGAAAAATGGGAGGCACTGCATTAGAAGAGGCAATAAGAGCATTACTTAATAAATGCCTATTGGAAGGACAAATACCGAATACATGGAAAAATGCGGAAGTCATTCTACTCCATAAAAAAGGGGACGCCGCAAATATAGAAAACTACCGACCAATAAGCTTATTGTCACACCTTTACAAACTACTCACCCGAATAATAACAAATAGATTGACAGCTAAACTAGATGCATACCAACCAGTGGAGCAAGCAGGCTTTCGTAAGGGTTTTAGCACTATCGATCACTTGCAAACAATTCGGACCATTATTGAAAAAACAATAGAGTACAACATACCACTACATCTGGCATTTATCGATTATCACAAAGCATTCGACAGTATCGAGAAATGGGCTTTCTTAACAGCATTGGACGACGCCAGAGTAGATTCAAGATATGCTGCCCTCCTTAAGAATATATACGATGATGCTACTTTTCACGTAAA